CCTGTGGAAGAAGAGCCTTCAGGATCTGGCGTTTCTTTGAGTAGTAGTACTAGTCTTGGAAAAGGATTAGCAGGACGGGTTAATATGGGAAACACCTGCTACATGAACGGCGCTCTTCAGTGTTTGGCACACACACCTCCCATACTTGAACACTTCTTGCGAGATCACAGTAAAGACGAGCTTGCTAAGTCGTTTGGTGAGCTCTTTGAAGGAGTTATGGTCGTCAGGAAATAATGCAGTTGAACCACGAGTTTTCAAGACAAAACTTGATAAAGCTGCTCCACAGTTTTGTGGTCACAATCAACACGATTCTCATGTTAGTTATTTTTCTATAGTTGAGCAAATTTTTTATGCTTTTGTTCCCTATGTGTTTATGATGTTATAATATAATGTTTTTGTTTCAGGAACTGCTTATTTCCTTATTAGAATGGCTACGTGAAGTCTCTGACATAGTTAACGTTTGCCAAGTAAGTATCCTTCATACCATAACTGGAAGAAGATTCTGTATGTTATATTTACTGACAGTTTGTGATATCTTCTTTATTCCAGGGTCAATGCAAGTCAAGTCTGGTCTGTCAAGTTTGTGGGAAAACAGGAAGCACTTATGAGTCCTTCACGTGCTTGTCTTTACCTTTGCCTTCAACACTTAACCGGTCAATAACAGTTACTGTGTTTTATGGCGAAGGAGGTCATCTTCCGATACGATACACTGTAACAGTGCCTAGGAGTGGATCATGTAGTGATCTTGTTACTGCACTAAGTACTGCTTGTTGCTTAACCGATGATGAAAGCCTGTTACTTACAATGGTAAGGACTCTTGACTTGACTCGTTCCTTTCTATGCTGACATTCCTTACTAATCTTTGGCATTGCCCTCTCTCAGGTATATGAGAACAAGATCTTCGGATATTTAGAGAATCCCCTGGAGTCGCTGAGTGTGATAAAAGATGATGTGCATACTGTGGCGTATCGGATGAAGAATCAGATGCAGAAAGAAGCAGGAAAAGCAAAACTTGAAATGCTTCATGGAGGGCAGGGAAGAAGGTAATGATCATGTTTTGGTTTACAACAAGAACTATTCTTGAATTAAGTTTTATAGGTCAGTCATATAACTCATGGACGTTTTATAGACCAAGTTTCTCTGGAGAGAAGACAAGGCAAGAAGAAGTGATAACTCTGTATGCTTGTTTGGAGAAATTTTTAGCAGAAGAACCTCTTGGACTGGATAACATGTGGTAATAGCATTCATCCCTTTGAACTTGTGATTGTTGTATAATCTTGGTCTTGAAGAGGCGTTACTTAAATAAGTTTTGACCATCTTTGTGGAACCACAGGGATTGTCCGGAATGCAAAGAGCAGAGGCAAGCTAACAAGAAGCTTGACATGTGGAAGCTGCCAGATATACTAATGTTCCAGTTAATACGGTTCAAGAGTAGCAAATATTTCATGAAGAAGATAGATACGTTTGTGGATTTCCTAGTTAAGGAGCTATTAGACGTGAGCAAGTACGTGAATAATGGGAAATGGGAGTCGTACTTGTATGAGCTGTATGCAGTGAGCAACCATCTCGGTGGAATTGGTGGTCTTGTAAATAATTTTTATAATTTATAAAGCCTTATAAATAAACTAATAATAATTTATAAATGATTTTATAAATATTTATAAAGGTCTATAAACCATTAAAAGTGTTTTAGAAACCATTATAAATAATTTATAAGCCATTATAAATAATTCATAAACTAATTACAAATGATTTTATTTAACCCTTATAAATGATTTACAATTTTTCTTTGTTTCAGTTTATAAAACTAAGAAGAACTCAGTTTTAAAAGTCCAAACTCTGTTGGAGTTAGATTTAAGTGATTTATAAAACCTTATAAATTAGTTTATAAATATTTATAATTAAGTTATAGATTCCGGTAGATGTTTTATAAAGTATTATAAATCAATTTATCAACCCTTATGAATCAATTTATACACTTATGTAATTCAAAATATAATCTCTTATAAAACAGTTTATAAAATTTCATAAATCAGTTCATGAACACTTATAAGCCTTTCTAAATGATATATAAGCTTTTATATATAATATATTAACTCTTGCAAATGTTTTATAAACCCTTATAAATTATTTATAAATCCTTAGTAATTATTTTTAAATTCTTACTATTAAACATATATCCATGATGCTTTTAAAATTTTTGTTTAAGTAATTGAATGATTTTGTACGCCCTTATATTTTTGTATAAACTCTTACAAGTCTTAAAATGATTATATAAACTCTTACAAAATGATTTATAAACTCTTATGAATTGATTTATAAACCCTTATATGTTTTTTGTAAACTCTTATAAATTAATTTATAAATGCTTATAAATAAAGGGGACTTATGAGCAATGTTTTATTATGATTTTTAATGCATACAAATTATTTTATTAACCCTTATAAATGATTTATAAAATCTTATAAATGGTTTATAAAATTCTAAAAATGATATATAAACCTTTATAATCAATTTTACTAGATCTTATAAATGATTTATAAACCTTTTTATTTTGCATACTCTTATAATTGTTTTTATAAATCTTTATAAAAAGAGTTATATACTCGTGTCTTCTATTTATATAATGAAGAGCTTACTCACACATAAGGCCGTCACATCATCAATTCGTTCAATCTCAGTGTGACACATGTCTACTAAAGCGTTGCGTTTCTTTTTTTTCACGCATGACCGACCTTAGTATATAATATTGAGACATTATATTTTGTATCTACACATATATAAACTAATTATAGGGGTTATAAGGTTATTTATTTTAATAAAGGTTTATAAATGACTTAAATTAACAATGATTATTAACCAATTTGGTAGGGTTTAAAAACTATTTTATAAATACTTCCCTATTCTTGGAATCACCATTAATTAACTTTTAGACTCCAGTAGATATTTTATAAAGTATTATAAATCAATTTATAAAACCCTATCAATCAATTTAAACACTCTTGTAAATCAAAATATAATCTCTTATTAATTAGTTTATAAGATTTCATAAATCAGTTCATGGACCCTTATAAACCTTTGTAAATGAACTATAAGTTTTTATATATAACATAATAACTCTTGTGAATGTTTTATAAACCATTATAAATTATTTATAAATATATTATTCCACGGGAAACTGAACGAATTCAGATGGAGATGGGAGATCTAGAAGTTAAGTAGGACGTATTATCTTATTCGAGTATGGTATCTTGCTGTTGGTGATTCCGATCTTTGGCTCATATAACTGATTTATAAAAGTTTACAAAATTATTTATAAGTATACACTTATTTATAAGAGCTTATATATTTATTTATAAAGATTGATAAGTTATTTAATAATGTTTATAAAATGAATTTGAATTTTATGAGTTTAAGATTATATAAACTCTTACAAAATGATTTATAAACTCTAATAAATTGATTTATAAACCCTTATATTTTTTTGTGAACTCTTACAAATAAATTTATAAACTCTTATAAATAAAGAGAAGTTATGAGTCTAGTTTAAAAAAAAAAGAGAAAAATCCATCATCAACAACTCCAGATAAATCTACCTAAAACGTAAAATACATCATGAGAGAAAGAGGTATGATTCAATCCTTTAGCAGACAGACATGTATAGAATTGGGTCTCGTGGTTTCTGGTGGAATCAAATGCACGCTACTCTTCTCATACATCTGGCTTAGTTGTTGTGTTAACATGTCTCTCACAGGTCCCACGAAAAAACAACTCCCCTCCTACAAATTGGTTACCCAAACAATGCAAAATTTAATAAGAACTACTTTTTATACTCAAAACAGAATTTTAAGACAAACTAGTAAGGGTCATTTGAAAAATTCTAACCTAAATCAAGATCCCTATGTTTGCCATAATCAACTACAAACCCATGGTGAGAGTCCAGTGTTGCTCCACCTACATCACTAAAGAATACTACAAAAATAAAAATAAATGTGGTAAGTAACTTTTTAGCCAATACTAACGGACACACCTTAATAATAGTCATATGTAATGGATTTCACTTATATATATTGCCTTTCCTTGAGAGTCATTAGCTACCTAAAATAATTGAATTAGCATCACGAACAACATACTCCATTGTTGAATTAAGATGCATACCTTACTAATCAGCCTAGAAGTCAATCCTAGACGAGCTGCACAAGTCAATGCATTTCCAGAATTCCCTCCTCCTTGTACCTGACAACATCAGACACACAATTCATAATCCCTTAATCACAAATCAGAACAGAAGATCATGAAGAGAGAGGCGGAAAGAGTACCTTGAGGCTAGTACTTCGGATCTTGTCATCAGGATTAGGATAAGAATCGATGGAGGAAGAAGAAGACATTCTAGTCCTGAACCTGAACCATACAGGAAAGATAGAATAATCAGTTTATAAACTCAGATAAATCAGTTTAAAAACAAAACTTGTCCAAATTAGTTTATAAACCTTATATAATGATTTATCAAAGTTTATAAATTAGTTTATAAACCTTTACAAATCAGTTAACAAACCTTATATAATGATTTTATAAACCCTTATAAACTCAACAAAAAGTTTCTAAACTCAACAAAAAGTTTTGTTCTTTAAAAGAAAACAGAGATAAACTTTTCTACTTTCATCGGCAACCCAACTAATAAAAGTTTATGATCAGGATATTCCCAGGGGGAAGAAGATTGAAAGCTTTTCATAGAGAGCCTACTTTCGGATCTTAAGGATGGACAATTTTTGCCAAAATCTTAACTTAAGGACTTAGTATGTTAAGTTTTGTCATACATGGAAAAAAAAATGTTTCTACTCAAGGCTGAGGACTTGGTTCTATCTATCTGAGTTTGAATATAAAACAACGGTAGAGCAACCCTTAACATAATATAATATAATATAGCGTACGTACCATCACGGAGTTGTGCTCCATAGCTTGAAGACGGAACTTGAGCTCATTGTTTTGGTTCGTCAACCCCATTGAATCTCTCTGAACCGTCCAAAGAAAGTAATGTAATAAGAGTAGCGACCTATTCAAAAGTAGGACAGTTTGTGGGTTGTGTGTCTATTCTCACCTGCAAACGCGTGAGCTGAGCAGATAATGTAGTGGCCTCAGTCTGAAGGGTCTGCACCTTGTGTTCTAACTCCGCCATGTATTGAGTCTTCCGCTCCTTTGAACGTGCAGCAGAGACACAGTTTGCCAATATCCTTTACAAAATTGTTTAAAAACAAACACTCAATAACAACAACAACAAGGCTGTTATTACCAGCTTGTAGTCACTGTTGTGATGAAAAACTGAGATCCGTTGGTGTCTTGCCTGGCGTTTGCCATTGATAGAAGCCCTGTGAAAGAACAAACAGTTGATCAAGTAAAAACACCTCGCTTAGGCAAAGAACTTGTCAACACAGAATACTGAAGAAGACCTCACCTGGACCAGTATGCTTGAGTTTGAAGTTCTCATCAGCAAACGTCTCACCATAGATAGACTCTCCTCCCATACCATTGCCATCGGTGAAATCGCCTCCTTGGAGCATAAAGCTTGGTATGATCCTATGGAATGAGCTCCCCTTGTAATGTAGAGCCTTCCCTTTCTTACCTATTCCTTTCTCCCCTGTGAATAGATGAGATGACGATACAGTTTAGGTAAGCTTTCATTGCAAGGTAAATCCACTGCTGTGGCAGATAAAAAAGAGTTACATAGTATATATTCATTTTGTTCTCTAACCTGTGCACAAAGCTCGGAAATTCTCTGCAGAAACCGAAATTTCAGAACGTCAGATGTTTCGATCATACCAATAAGCTTGCAAACAAGAAACATGTCAAGGGTAAAGGGTACCTGCAGTTTTAGGGACGGTCTTTCCATATAGACCCATGACAATACGACCTAGACATAAAAACATAATCGTTTTCAGGGGAAAGCAATGGAGGAAAATTTAAAAAGCATTTCATTTCATGTATTCTCTTTCTAATAAAGAGAGCATAAGTAGTTATGGATAATAAGAATTTAAAACTCAGGAACAAGGTCACACTACCAGCTTCTTTCCCATCAATCTCAACATCGAAATAAACCTTGTGTGTGATCTCCTTTAAATTCTCCTTGGAATTTTTGGCCTGCAACAGATAATAAAAGAAACATCCATAAATCAATACACACACACACACACACACACACACACACTGAATCTAATCCCATAAGTAACAAATTCAGAATCTCTTTTCGAATCACATCTTAAACACACTAAATATATAACTCGCGATTTAAGTGATAAAGATTCGTTCCCTGATCCTACGAGAAATCAAATCCCTAAATCTTCAGAGATGATGAAAACTAACCAAAAAGCTTACCATTAAACAATCGCAATTCAAATCGGTAAAATCTAGAATCGATCGAATAGTGAGAATTACGAAGCTCAGAGAGTACAAAATGTACCTGAATCGCGCTTAGGGTTCCGAGAAGAAGAAGACTACATAGCAGCAGCGTCGTCACTGAGCTCACCATCTCCCACCGTTCAGCAAATTGTTTCTCTCCCGAGTCTCCTCTTTCTCCAGAGAAAAGACGCAGAAACAGGAAAAGAAAAGAAACAGGGTTAGATTTGACATTTCACCGTTAATGATTTAGGTATATATGAAAATGTCCTNGCTTAGGGTTCCGAGAAGAAGAAGACTACATAGCAGCAGCGTCGTCACTGAGCTCACCATCTCCCACCGTTCAGCAAATTGTTTCTCTCCCGAGTCTCCTCTTTCTCCAGAGAAAAGACGCAGAAACAGGAAAAGAAAAGAAACAGGGTTAGATTTGACATTTCACCGTTAATGATTTAGGTATATATGAAAATGTCCTCTATGTAGAGGTAAAAATGAAAAGTGGTACATGGAATGTGGTAAAATTGAAATTCTCCCAACTAAAAACTAGTGTAGAATCTAGTTTTACTCAAAAAAAAAAAACCAAATTGCTAGAGTTCTTACTTTGTGAATATATTTAATTTTTGCTATCTAATAATTTTTTTCTTTTTAAAGTATCTATAAAATCTGATTTTAAACAATAATTCTAATCACAAAATTTATAGTATAATTTAATAAAACACACACAATCTAGATAAGATACTCTAATATTTTACACTTAATGGTTTAGTTTACCAAGTAAGAAAATGTACGCTATCAAAACCAAACCTAAAATTTATCTTAATTATATAGAACATAATCATTGTAAATGAAATTGATAGAGCTCTTATTTTTTTGAATCTTTTTTAATTCTTACTATCTAAATAATTTATTTTAAAGAAATATCTATAAAATATGATCTTAAATAATAATTTCAGTCACAAAATTTATAGTATAATTTTATAGAACACACACAATATACAAAAGATACTCTAAAATTTTACACTTAATTGTTTAGTTTACCAAGTAAAAAAAATACTATGATATCAAAAAAGTAGAGCTTGATAGTTAAAAAAGAGACACTAAACAAAATGAACAAGATACACCGACAACATAACTCAATAACCTATGAAACATAAATATTAATGTTTTTTTTATAACTAATACAATAATATATTTATACAGAACATACATCCGCGCGGACGCGCGGGTCAAAAGCTAGTTACAAATTACGTAATGAGTACTAGAATCTGTTCAAAAGAAAAAAGATTTAAACTGAATGAAAAATGATGTGATGAAATGGTATCTTGAAATGGTATCTAAAAGACAAGAAAAAAAAAACAGTTAAATGCCTTTTGCCCCACACAGGTCAAAGAGCCATTTCATACTAAAATGTCTAAACCCATGTCATTGTAAATAGGTTTAAGCACGGATCGGATATTCGGGTTTTTTAAGGTATTTATAATTTGTTTTGTATGTTATAAATATGTAATTTTTTATTTGTTTTGCTTCAGAAAAATATGGATATCGAGAAAATAAATAGATATTTACGGATAATTACAAAATCTTGAGCTATAGCCGATATTATTGCAGGAACACAGGTGACGGTATCAAACTTAAATTTGAAATATATGAGTTTAACTCTGATTCATGGAGGGTTACTGATGCCTGTTGTGGTAGTTGGATAAATCTCTGGAATAGTGCCATGTCTGTAAAGGGAAATATTTACTGGTTAAACCCTCTGTGTAATTATATACAGATATGATTTCACAACGCAGAAATTTGAACGTCTACTTCTTCCTTCTAATAGTGATGAGCCTTATGAGGACGTAGTTCTATCTTCTGTCAGAGAAGAGAAACTTGCGTTGGTATGCCATTACTACTCAGGTAATACAGATTCATTAAAGATGAAGGTATGGGTGACCAATACCAAGACTTATGAGGCCAAAGACTTGTCGTGGAGTGAATCCTTTGTAGTTGATTTTGGTAAATTTATACTAGATAAAGAGCTACGGGTGTTTAGTTTCTTGGTGAACGAGGAGAATAAAAAAGTCATGTGTTGTGTGATATATACGATGAAGGTAGGACAAGAATCTACATTTTTGGAGAAGATATAGACAAAAATATCTGTAGAGAGGTTCCATATTTATCACGATCAAGTTCTTTTTCTTCACTTGTCGTCAGTTATGTTCCGAGTTTGGTTCAGATTCCAACAAGGTAGAGTAATACATGAGGCCAACTCAACGTGAGTTGAACCCAAGTAGCGGAAGTTACAGCTGCAACCCCTTTACCACTAGGCCAACTCAACGTTGGTAATTACAGTATTGTTTATTACTGCTTAGTTAGTCAATTACAGATCCTGGTAATGTTAATGCACAGACAAAGATGCAATCATATCTCCAGGTTTGCAAACAACTTCATATAATCAGATCATATATATAGTTCTACAAACATAATGACTGTCTGCTAGCTGCTGATGAAATCAATCATTTGGATAGTTCTCACTCAAAAAGTGACATCAAGTTATTTTAGTTGATTTTAAGGCACAAGGTCCATTTCAGTGATACAAATACTAATCACTCATGAGTCATGATCCAATTTAAAGAATAATGCAGTAACCGGAACTAGGTGGAGGCTTTTACGTAGGGTTTTAGAATGTTTGCTATTCGTAGCAAACGCTCTAAATTAAAATGGTGGATTTTCCGGCCAAACCAGTGCTCGTCATTATCAGATTATTAGGTCACTGGAAAGCCTGTAACGAGAAATAAATTTAAACGAGACTACAATGTGATCTATTCAAACGTCAAAAAATGAATTTAAACTGAATAAGAAATGATGTGATGAAGTGGTGATCTTGAAATGATCAAAAAGAAAAAAAACAGTCAAAGGCCTTTTGTCCCACATCGGGTGTGATACTGAATTATCACTGTACTCATGTCATTGTTCCAAGGCTTGCAGTAGTTACAAAGGTGAATGTTAGTTTTGCTTCTTTTTTTTTTAAGGTAAAAGAACTTCATCTACTCCAATGGATACCTTTTCACATACCGTTTATTGTGAACGTTATAGGATGAAAAGCTTCAGGGATTGCATGTTATCCAGAAGGGACTCGTGAAAATCACTTTTGGTGCAGAGTTATGGGAGAGTCAAAATGTTTCAAGCCTTAGGTCTGATAATCTTGAAACTGAAACAGAAATTTCCATAGAAAATTAGGAAGAAGGATACTTTGGTGAATGGGTTCTTCTTGGCGAACTCAAAGATTCCTTGAGTGCAGTTGCAGTAGGGGAAGTGGTCTGCGTTGTTTTAACAAAAGAAAAGTTTGAGTCAGCGGTTGGCCCTTTGACCAATCTTGCAGATGAAACTCACAAGTATGATTAGTACTATATTTTTCTTCATTACCCTTGTTGTTTAAGTAAGTGTATATAATCTTTTTTCTGTTTAGGGTGAGACAATCTTCGTTTGATATACCACAGCTCTCGCTAAGGCCACCCTTGCAGACTTGGTAAGCTATCTTACTCTACATAAATGGCAAAACAGTACGCCTCAGTTTTTTGTAATCTCGGTTTTATGCAGGAAGGGACTACATGCTTGAGTTCAACAGGCTGCAGTGAGGTCGGGCTAGTGCATTTGAAAGATAAGAACACTACTCTTGCTTGTCCTCTATCTTCCTTGCTGCACTCTCCTGTTGACGAGTCATCTTCCCGTTTCATTACCGCCTCACTTGTGTCTGCCTTAGAAGATATACACAAGGTTTAAACCTGTCTTCTAACATATCACTTTAATTTCTAAGGCTTTGCGTTCTGAAACTTCTTTTTCTACTTTCTCTTCAGAGGTTCATCTCCTAATTTACTGATGCTGGATCAATCTGGATATCTACAGGTTTGTGTTTTTTTCT